AACTTAAAAAACAAACAAAAAACATCTAACTGTAAAAATTATCTGAACTATTCTCGAATCCATTTAAACACTCATCAAAATCGGTCCACCCATTTATTGCATTATGGCTTTGTCGGGAAAGATTCAATAGTCTCGTCGTGGTATTGTTAAAGATAAAATCGGCATGGTAAGATAATAGAAACTTAAAATAAACACATCAACCGATAACATTCGAAACTCACACTTAACCATAGATAACATTACGTTTAGTTGTTGTTGCGTTTTGATATAGCATTCTGAACAAATGAACGGCTAGACTGATATTATGACTGATAAATTTTTCGTTTTCTGTTTGTTGCGTATTGTTATACCAGGTTTTAAACTAACACGACTTTCGTTTCGTTTTTTGTGTGTTTTGTTCTAACACGACTTTCTTTTATTAGATAGAATATTAAATACCTAATTGAGGCTATGAAGGGTACGTTGGGTGTACGTGTAAGTGTCTTGTTGTTAAAATGTCCTAATACTTCAAGTTTATTGAATAAAAAAGTTTCATTAATAAAAATTACGTACGACAAAGTTTAGGGACTCCCTTAAACAAATATTGCACTGACGGAATTAACTTATTCATGAATATACCACGGCACTAATAATTTGTTTTATTTTATGAGACCTATTATCTAGAAACTGGCGTCTCGTAAATACTTGAGCCACTCGGAATTTTAAAGTAATTGAAAGGGTTGATTTTACGGCGGATTTTCACGATGATATGCGTCTTCTGGGGCTCGTACCAGGCTTAATTACGTTTTTACTTAACTCTCGCGGTTTAATTATACTCTGGCATTGAAAATTAGATCGCTGCGTACTATTTTTTATTGTTCACAAAACGATTGTTTTTTTTAATAATATATACTAAATGTGAAATTACTTGTTATATACATTGCACATTTCTTCAACGTTGTATTCCGATGATATTAAATTATATGTTTTGTTTGTCTGTCTTCATAGTGGTTTAAGCTTACCATGCGCCCATATATGGAGTGGCACAGAATATAAAATACCAATCGTATCACCTCCATGTCCGTCGTTCCACAACTGAGCGTTTCTTGAGGCAGTTTTTGCAGCGCACCACCACTATGTGGAACCAGCTGCCCACTGAAGTATTTTCCAACCAATTCAACTTAGGGTCCTTCAAGAAAAGAGTCTTCAAAGGCCTGCAAGTGCGGCAATGCATTTGCAAATTGCAAGTCTTCTAGGAATATAAGTGTCCATGGGCGGCGGTTTCACTTAACATCAGGTGTGACTCCTGCCCGTTTACCTCTGTTACACAAAAAAAAAACTAAATACTCTTCCTCAGAAAATGTGTCATCCATCTTTGGTCTTCTTTAACGAAGAGTTGTAAATAACCCATAGCGAGAACCAGCGCTTCATCACAACTTTGAAACACTTTTGTTTTATTTCCATTGCTTAAAATTATACAAAACTAAAAGGGTATGGAGGATGCCCATTTATTTCCGTAGAATCGATAGAGTTCAGGTAAAGTTATATTTGATTAGGGTATGCATCGGCCAAGTATCGAAACGGTGGGAGCGTTTTTATATTCCTCCTTTTGGAATTGCCTTCGAACGTTCGTGAGCAATTTCACGGAATGAATGAATTTCGAGTGATATCGTTTTATTAATATGTTAAGTGATATACATAAATCTTTTGCTTTATGGCTATATAATATTTATCTTCGGCGTTACTTTTTTATTGAGCAATTGGAAGCCCCGACTCATGTTAATGGTGAACACTAAGTAATTGGTTAATTCCTGATAATAAATATAGATTGAGGTGGGGAAGTTTATCAAGTTTCCTTGAGTACTAGACATTTCAGGCGTTTCAGAATACTGAGCATGAGATCTCGTTTTAGAAGGGACTTTATAGGAGATATTAGTAGGAGATTGTAATGTATATGCTATAAGGTTGGTTAAATTGATTAAAATCTGGCAAACAAAGATAATGATGTGATTGCCGATAGGTTTCGTTTGTGAGTGTTTAGGCTGAGAGCTACGATCGTTACGTGTTGCGGTTTTACGCCTGTGTTTAGGATGAGATTTTGCAATAAACTTGATAATAACCTAATAGAAAGCGTATTTACTTCCATTTTATACTTTAGATAATAGCTATTATTTATTTAGAACAGATATAAGCAGTTTTAATGTAAACTAAATCAAAGTGCAAAGAGAGCAAAAGAAGCGATCGTACACAAAATATAAAGTACTCAAGTTAAATTTTTCTTTAGGTTATTTGTTTATTACAACGTTTTTAACTTAACTGGAAAATGAAAATAGAAAAGTTTAAAATAAAGTCCCAAGATTAAATTGTCAAGACTGTAAAAGTTATAAACAAGAATACGCGTAGCCACAATAAGTCGGCGTTAGAACACAGACACATTAGCGAGTTCGCGAAGTCGCGGTAATGCGGGAGATAAAGGAATTTGCTCTTAAGTATGTGGCGAGAGGCTTACCAACTTACTTAACTCCGACGTTCGACTTTTTGCCTTTATAATTAGGTTCAGCCATAAAGCAAAGAAATCAATGTTGCCCGGTTCAGTAAATCCTAGTTAAAAATTCGTAGCAAAACAGAGTTAGTACGGTAAGAAGCCCGCATATTTCCTAATTAAGAAAAAGTCATGTAAAAAACAAAATTAAATCAGTTTTTGGCTTTAGATTTCAATTTCGCCGATTTTTTATTTCAAGCTGCGCCTCTGGGCAACATATTATGTTCTGTACCAGAAAAATGAAAAAAATAATAGTTTGTGAGGTCGATAAACGTATAAAACGGTTTATTTAAGTAAAGTCGTTAAATATTCACGTAGAATATTCAAAGATAGTTTTCATAATTTTATCATCATTTTGCATACATTTTGAGCATAACCTGGTTATAACAGGCGAGGTCTATATGTGACGTCGAAGCCACTTTAAGCAACATTTTTTATGCTGATGAATATAAAATATTTATTTTCAGTTTTAAGGTTTTATTAAAATTTTGTTCGTTTTATGTGCGCTTTAATATGCATCAGTGCGTACATAACCTGTTGCGAAGCGAGTTATAAATCGGGCGTAAAAAGAAAATATATTGTATATTACTAAAGAAACGTAACATTTAAACGTTTTTAATCATACTTTCTCCGTTTGTTGCTGTCTTATTAGTGTGTTTAAGACTCAAGTAATAAGTATTACATTTTAGTTCTCTTTATAACTGGGAGCTATTACGATGCGATTACTTAGTGAGGAGTGCTCGTAAATTGTGGCCCTTGCCTCTGCGCTCAAAACACTCTGGATAGACGTCATTATTTTACTTGAAGGAACATTCATTACTGTGTGCTCGGAATTAGAAATAGAAGAGCTCTGCTAGCTCTTACTGAGAAAGTAATGTATAATTATAATTTGTTCCCGATTAAAGAGAACATTATTATTTAATATACTGACGATAAAACAGTAGTATGTACGTAGCATAAAGAATATTTCAGTTGGCGAGTCTGTTTAAAGCATTTCTCCGTTGCAAGTTATCGAAGTGTATTAAGTGCTATTAATATCCACGAAGCATAGCAAGATGTCCAGGATATAAATGAGGGTGCTTAGCGACTCAATATTCGAGCTCCAGGTGATGTTAATGGCTGTATAATCGACGACGGAGCCATTAATTCTGCGCCCAGTTCCCACTTCCTCCCGTAACTCATGCGCCAACTTCCGATCCGTAATAAACTTCTCAACTATGCTCTTTGCTCTTTAATCGATCTGAATGTTAACTGTGCTTACTAGGATTCTAAACACCTGTATTAATTTACTCACAATAACTGTATCTTAAATTTATTAATATATCTCTGTTAGAATAAGTAATGTTGACTCGGTAGTTCGAAGCGAAATAAATGTTTAGAGTCAAAGTGAATTCCACAGCATCTCGGTTCGGAATTGACACTAGCAATGTAGATTGTGGAGTATCGCAAAGATAGAGTAGTTGGGAATCCTCATAAAATATGCAACGTATTGACTAGCAGCGCCCCGCAGTGCGCACTGCGACACTGTCTGCGGTCGCTGGCGAATTTAACGACACTTACAGACAAACAATGGCCTTTACTTGTTTAGTTTTAGTTCGGATTAGATCGGACGAGCGGAGTTATGTGTTCCGAATGAAGGCCCGGCGTCTACTCGCTAAACTAAGCGCGAAATAGTCATAGTCCCAAAATAATATTGTACAAAATTTTAAGTAAAGTTGGAGCATTTCTGTGGTACACCACCCTAGAGTTTAAAACATTTTACTATACGTCAATATGGTTTTTAGAAAACATACATTTAGAATGGATTTAATCAACGAGACCAATGTAGGACACTTTCACAGTAACCAGAGTACCTGGAACTGTTTAGGAAAAACACCTTTTGTATGGCAATTAAGGTATTCAATAACATACCAAAAGAATTAAAGGATCTTCCGACTAGAGTCTTTAAAAAGCGACTATAGAAGTATTACTTTTGGAAAAAAAATACTATTCAATAAATGATTATTTGCGTGAGACACTAAATAAATTAATAAAGTATTAAGAATTGACTTTGACTTATAATGTAAAATGTAAAATTCCTTAAGACAAATTTGCGCGCCATTGTGTGTGGCAAAATATGCGAACCTACGATTGTACCACCTTACACATTTCTGTACCAAATTCTTGCAATAAATAAATTATTATAATTATCGTCCCATATTTACATAAGTTAGTACTGTAACTATACCGAAACGACGTAATCCTATATTAATAAATAAAATGACATCCCGTTTTGTGACATTTACGAGTACTTTAGATCAAAAGTCATTTTGTCACGTCACGTTTCAGCCAAAAGGCTGAAATTCAATTTCCCAAGTCCCGGCCTTACTTTAAAGTGTAACTTTAATATTACGTTGGTATGTTAACGTTATACATTATTTTTTTTTTTAAGTTGTATGAATTGGTCAATTATTAGGTTTAAAGCTGAATTTTATTGCAGGTAGCATGGATTCATATAGATCGTCAAATGATACTAACCATACATCGCCATGTGATCACACGTTTGGCGCGCTTCAGTGTGTCGCACGACAACGCCATGACTTGGCTGCTGCACGTCAGCCAGGTGCAGCAAGAGGACCGCGGCTACTACATGTGTCAAGTTAATACCAATCCCATGATCAGCCAAGTGGGCTATCTACAAGTCGTTGGTGAGTCCATTTACATTAGAGAGAGAGAAAAATGATCCAACTTTATAAAAGTTCTCAGAACATACTAACTCTGTAAAGGTATTTTTAATAGATTATAATGACTAATAATACATAACTACATGCAATCCTTAATATTTTGGCAATATAAAAAGTCAATTATTCTGTACAAAACGAGAAATGTGTTATCGAATTCACAGTCAAAATTACGTCTTAACAGTTACATAAAATATTGAATTAGTTCACCATAGATTCAATCGAAGGTAATGAAATAGTGAAATGAAATAGTTTATTCTTGCAAGTAGGACTATATAAATCACTTTTACAATGTCATCCTAAACTAGATGAAGTCGACATTTCCTAAGGCTATGTTCAGATGGCAAAAACTTGACGCGCGTTTTCAAATCGCGCGACTAGACATTATGGTACTTTCATACAACTGTTCACATGAGCGCGAGTTAACGCGCGTTAACGCGCGTCAACGCGGCGCTCAGAGAAAAAGTCTCTAGACGCAGGTGATCGCGCGTTGACGCGCGCTTTTATATTAATGTAATGTCCGTTTGCTGTTCAGATGAGCGCGCGCTTTCATCGCGATCGCATGTAATTTTGTTAATTTTCGTAATTATATTTTGCTCTCGCATTTAAAATGAGTGAAATTGAAGATATTGACATCGACTTACTAACCGATGAAGTAGAAAAAAGGCCAGCAAGTTGGAATATAGCAAATTTGTATAAAAAATATAATATAATTTGTATTTTTTTTCAAAATTGGATGAACCCAATGTGTACGTTTTCTTTTTCTATATTTTTCTTTATAATATAACCACAAAATAATAGCCTCTTCCACGTCCATTTTCTACGTTCTACCGAACTAGACTGCCGAGTACTCTCGCAACGCGCGTTAGCGCTCATCATCTGAACGCTCTTCAAATTTGATCGCGCGTTGACGCGCGTTAACGCGCGTTACATGTGAACATAGCCTAACTGACTGCCCTGAGAAGAAATGTCGAAACAAACTCGGGGGTCTTAGTCTCTTTTATATAGCCATTATAAGATAGTAGATGCGTGAATGAATAAGTGAATGAATGTTTCTGATAAGTTATAAACTTCACGCAACAATTTCGACTGGTTTCAATTCACTGGAAAAATATCGCAGCCGAATAATATTTATTTTACCGCATCGCCACATTTGTAAGGCAACGTGTAATAAAAACTGCAGCTCACCTCGTATTTAAAGCATTCCAGTTAAAGCCCAATATTTAGCAACAGATACACTTTCTCGTTGGTCTAAAACCACGAGCCGCTTTCGGAGCCGCTCACTTGGTTTAGGAAACTTTTAAGTGGCATTTTTTTTATTTCCGAATCGGGTCAGTTCAATGCGTTTTTTATTGCGTCGGAAATACGAAGGTGCTTCAACGGAAGCGGCCGATCGGGAAGGTTTATAACAACGATAAAATTTTATCAAAACTAAATTTATGTTTTATATAATTTGTAGGGCTTAAGTGCTTATTTCGGATATAATAATGTTTGGTTGGGTCTTTTTTATTTTATTAAAGTCTCATTTCGCTTATAAAATACGAAACTGAATTTAATGCACTGATTAGTTATTCGTCGTCGTTTTGTATGAAAAGTTAAACATAGAGTTTTTAGTGAGATCAAAATTTTGGTTCTTAATGAAATTTTTACATAATCTCGAAAATTTGAAAATAAGTTGATTAATTATAGCTGAAGCAAAGCCTTCAAGGTGCAGACGAAATTTGAACGTGCGGAGTTAAAAAGAGCAAAAACTGTGCGCAAGGGAAAAGTTGGCAGTTTCAAATTTTAAATTCACGTTCGCGGACCAAATATTTTGCACACGTTTGAATTTCACAGTTTAACTTGATTTGCTTCAAGAATTTTAACAATATTTTACTTAACGTCTCTTCTAAAGTTATTTACTGTTAGCACAAACAGAACGCTAAATGTATAAACCTAGAAAAACTTATCGAGGTAGTTTTTTTTGGATACGAGTGTATCATATGTAGAATAATACCTTTTTGGGTATGTTGTTCTGTCCCGAAATACTCTGCTGTATTTTCGCTATACCATTTCTGCACATTCCTCTGCGATTGGAGCCAAGCTCATCAATGATATTCTTTTCCATGATGAATCGTGAACTCAAATTCATATGTACGCATCCATATATCAATACTTTTTATAAAGCATATTATTATCTATTATACTCGCGTTTGTTATCAGTAGACTGGTCACTTTTTACGGGTACGTTTTACAGCTTGAGCGTCGTAGAAGAGATGGTTGTCTATTTTTACTTTGTAGTTTATGATATTTGGTACACATTAGGATGAATGTGTACCTAAAAAGTCTATTTCGACGGTGAACCAAAATTCACGATATCAATATCCAGAGTGGTATGACAGGGAATTAATTAACTTAATCAAAAATAAAGTTCGACTCCAAAAACGTTACAAACAAACCAAAACAGTAAGGGATTATTGTTGTTAACGGACCCTTTTTTATTGTCCGTTGAGTGAACTGACAAAAGTTCTACTATTTGTTAGCGTATATAATAATTTATACATTTATTCATTATGTAATTCTTTCGCTCGTTTTTCCTAATTAATTTCTTATGTTTGTTTCGTGTGTGAATTTTATATTGGTTACGTAAATTATTCTTTTTGGGTCACCTGTTAGGATAGGATTGTATTTTTTGTATATAAATAAAAAAATATTACAATTTATTAAAAAAAAGTGATGCATCGATAGTATTTTAGCAGACTCAGTCATTTTACTTTCCACAGTCCCTCCCAACATCCTAGACGAGGAAAGCACCCAATCAGCTGTAGCAGTGCGTGAAAACCAAAACATAAGCTTGGTGTGCAAGGCCGATGGTTTCCCCACACCGAAGATTATGTGGAGACGGGAAGATGGCCAGCCTATCTCCGTGGAAAGGAGAAAGAAGGGTAAGCAATTTAGACATTATGATTTTTTTTACATTTTTGTTTATATATTATAAAAATTCAGTTTATTCTCTTTCAACCTCTCTTATATAAAGAGCATTATTGCGGTATTATTTATCAAATGGATAAGTTTCATATTACATACGCATTGCGAATATGAAGATTTCGTATTTATGTAATTTTAACAAGATATCAGTGAAACCTGATTTAGCTGAACAATAAAATTAAATGAAGGTACCAGGGTCAAATATAATATATGTATAATAGCGAGCCCCAATGTCCTCTTGTGATCAATGACTTCACGGTTAGGACCTGTCATCCTCACCGTCACACGCAGTATTAGCTAAGGGACGATTTCAATTATATTTTCACATCCAGGTTAAACGTTCCTATTGTTTAATTATATCTGTAATTAAAGATTTGTATAAGTACATTATAACGACAGAACAAAATATTTTTGATCTAGTAAATACTCCACAACTAATTCTTCTTACAAGTAAAAAGGTTATAATAATAATAATAATTTTTCGTAGCTGAGTAGGTAATTAGTACTCTGGTTTTGACACCTACCATACAAGTAACTTTAATTGAAGAAATAAATATCAGTTTGTTGCTTAAACATTACACTAACAAGGAATACTGCGCCTGTATGTATTTCTATCACTGCAAAATAAAAATTTAACAATTAAGAAAAACTAAGTCGTTCATTCAATGATTAGAAAATAATAAAAACGTTTAGCCAATGTAGAAACGGGAAGAAATTTTTATTTTTTGCAGAAATTCGTACAGTAAAGATAAAACGGCAGGAATTGTATTTATTCCTTTGATGTAGATTTAAACATTATCATAATAAACCAACAGAATATGAATGATATTAAATAAACAACGTTGAAAAATATTATATATACAGTTGTTTTAGCACTGAAATAACACAGTGAATTCTAGATTATCTTAATACAATATTATTTAGGTGGGGTATGCTAATTGATGTTACTTTACTATGCATGGCAATAGTTAAGTTAAAGTTAACTAAATAATTGCTTGTTTATCACACTTTCTTTCATAAATAAGTAGTCCAGGCGCTAGAGGTAGTTGAGTATGCAAAATGTGAGTGACGAATTTCGCTAACGGATTTGAGTTAAAAAAAGGTCAAGGAATAATAATGTGGATCTTGCCGGTCCATTTTTTTCCCCTTTTCTCTTATTTCTTAAAAGGGAATGTATTGAGTACATGATATAAAATCATTTTAATGATTATTATTAATTTATAGTTTGTTGTAATGGTAAAAGTGAGGATGGATTCCTAATTATTAATAAAAATAAACTTTTCCATATAAATGTTTCTACTACTCTATTAAGGGCTACTTAATAAATTGCAACTCGTTCGATTTCTGTGCGCTAATACTTCAAAATATGCACAAGTCAAAGAAGAGTGAGATGTATATTTGTGGAGGATTCGATGATCTAACTAAATGTTTCAAGTTGCAAGGGTCTTCAATTTGTGAGGTACCTACTTGAATTACAATCAAACCATTCAGAAGCTGATTCAAGAATGTTCGTCTACACATTTCACGCAGTAATGATACAATCTGCTCATATTATCATAATCAGCGCTGATACAGATGTATTTATCTTGGCTTATTACTGGAAATACTTAGCAAGTATTGGGTGTCTCGGTCTATGGTTTGACGGTTCTCACACAAAAAAATATTTTTCTAGGATGCCATTAAAAAAATTATCTGCTGATGAACTCAGATTATATACTGATATCTCCAAATATAGGTTTCAATTTGATGAGAGTGATACGAGGCATGCCTTTTAATTTTTTTCGTTTTAAGAAAAAAACAACTAGAACCTTATAGTACTTTTTGTTGTTTTTCAAAGTATTCACCACGTAGCTTAATACACTTTTCCATTCGCTCAAACTAGTTATTATAACATTTATTCCACTCTAAAGTGGGGGTGTTCAAAATGGCTGACTTGAAAGCGTCGACTGCTTCTTCACCGGACTCGAACCTTTGACCACGTAGACTTTTCTTAATTTTAGAAAATGTTAAGAAATCGTTAGAGCTTAGTTCAGGACTGTATGGAGGATGGTCAAGAATTTCTACTTTTTCCTGCTTCAAATACTCAATCGTTTGACGAGCGCTAAGTGAGCTTGATCAAGATTCGTCACCACTGATGATGTCGTAGACGTGATTTGATTCTCCTCGGTTGAACCTTTGCAGAGTTTTCTTACACCATCTGATGCGGGCTGCCTTGTGATCGTCGGAAAGCAGATGCGGTATCCAACGGCAAACTAGTTTTCTCACACCAAGTGCTTCATGCAAGATCTTCTGAATGGTTGTCCCTGACATGCCTAATAGAGCCTCTATCTCTCGATCGACGCTGTGACTAAACAATAGCATTAATCCTAATACTTTCAACTGTTTTGAGATTCAAAATTTAAACATTCGAATATAGAACAGTTCCAAATTCAAAATTGGCGGGAAATATGAAAACGACAGAACTTAAAAGGTATGCACTTCAGATGCTTTGTTTTTGCATTTATTAAGGGCTGCAGTACAAATATTTATATGGAAAAATTCTCATCAAACACAATTAGGTACCACCCATTGATTATTATTGTTCATTTTGGTTACGAAAAGCTCAACGGTGACTTGTAATGGCAAAAAATCTGAATTGTTTTGTATTTCATTATTTAACTGTATCAATAACAAATGTCAAAATAAAAATGAGTAATTTTTTACCTACTTTCGTCCGCGACGAATTCGCTGCGCATGCGCGGCCCCGCAGCCGCTCTCAATCCGCTAGTATGATTATATATCCTTATACATCTGTCTAAGACCTCCATTATATTTCAGTCAATAGGATCCGAAGTTGTTTAAACTTTGAAAACTATTCAAAAGGCTTATTATCTGTAACGGGACTTATTTATGTAGGATGTGGTAATTTTTTCAAGTTGTCTATAGGTGCTAATCAGATAATATGTATCTGACATCACACTGTAGCTAAATCCAATTAAAAATACACACATAAACTATTCAATTATTCATATATTGTGATGTGCACAAAAAACAAAAGCGATAACGAAAATTCAAAAATTCTTTAGTTTTTAGGGAGTATTATATTATCTTATATACAGATCTATGCAGCGAGTCTGTCTTCATTTATTACAACTTTAAACATTATTACTCAACTTTATTGTAATTTTATACAGCCTTAGCAAAACTGAGAACCAACCAAAAATCTACTATATCTCTATTAAACGATCTACCGAGACATACGTGATATATGAAGGGTGTGCAATAAATAGTGATTATTCTCTCCTTAGAGAGAAAAAATATTAATAAAAAAGTAATTAATTCTCATATGATTTTTAAAAAGTGATTTGTTTGTGTCGCATCGGCATTCGGCACGTGTTCCTAAAAATGGTTATGGTAGGGGAGCCCAAGAGGGGATTTCGGGATTTACTAAAGCGCGGCAGATTAATATATAGGGGGATACCTTGTACCCGGTTAAGTACCTCCACAAAATATGAGGCCCATATATAAGGCCGCCCGTGAAGGAGACAGGATCAGATTAGTAAAAAAAAAATTGACCATCAGAAATTCTCGAGCGCGTCAGATTAAGGTAGGGTGAGTTAATTACATCCTAAAAAGTGTATATTCCACTAATCTGACAATTTGAAAGTGACGTAAAAAAAGGGGAGGGCAACAAAGTTGTAAAAAAAAACGTCATCTCGACATTCTCGAGCGTAGCTAAAATTTTTTTTATTTTGAAGGAAATAATTCAAGAATAATGAAAAATATATAATCTGACGATTTCCGCAAGCCGAAATAACAAAAATTCGTCGATAAAGTTAAATGCGTGCAGCTGCGTGATGCCTACATTTCCTTAAACCGATCGGAATCTACTAAACGGCGTTCTAAATATTTCCCTCAAAATTACATTTCCTGTGAATTTGAACCGATTCGGACCGATAGATTTTGAGAAATTTTGAAAAATCTTAAAAAAATAAGAATTTTTTTTTTTTAAAGTGGTTTCTTTATCGATCAACTTCAAAAACTAATCCGCCTTTGAGCTTGAAAAACCACGTCGATCGCCACCAAGCTGGTCAAAAGCGGTTGATTCGTTCGAGAGATATCGTGAACGAAAGAAACCCGAAAAAGTGTTTTTTCGGGATTACTCCGAAATTTGTGGTTCGATCAATTAAAATTGCAAAATTACATATGAGGATGATAAAACTGCGTCGAATGCCGCCAACCGCGTGAAAATTGCTTGATCCATTCAAAAGTTATTGCGGTTTGAAAATTCCAAAAATAGTGTTCTATGAAACTTCTATCAGACTTTCGAGCTGGGAGAGTTCAAATGCATAGAAATATTATTTCTTTGAACTCAGCGAGCTCAAAATATCAATTTTAAGCGCCCAGGAATGGAATTAGCGGGAAGTTGCAGGGATGGCCCTTTAGGTGAACCGTTTTTCTAAATTTTTTTTGTCAGATCAGGCGAATCCCTCTAGATAATCGTCAGATTATGAGACAGTACGTTTAGAACATAAAGATGAACCACATATATCTTAATCTGACGCGCTTGAGTATTTCAAAATTGCGTTTTTTTTTGCAAATTATGAAAATGGCCGTGGGTTTGCGTCCCATCGAAATCGTCAGATTAGTGAATGAGAGCTTTTTATTGGTGCACTTAACACTCCCTTAGAAAATCTGACGCGCTCGATAATTTTTATTTTTTTTTCATTTTCAACCCTTAAATACAACCACCCGCATCATGCAAACGATCAGATTAACATACGTACATTATTAAAAATACGTAGGGCATTGATGCTATCAATATCTGACGCGCTCGAGGATGTCCATGCAACAGTTTTTTTTTACATATTTAACAATCTATAGCCGCTTCCCCCACCGATGAAAAGGTATATATCATATAACATTTTTTTCTTCTTATTATCTAAGCTTTGCATCCCAATAGGTCTCTACGACGCTCGAGTAAATCCCCATTTAGCATCGTGGGCTCCCCTACCATTAAACTTAAGGTTCAAGACTTGACAGCAATATTAGGGTTTTTGATTGACATACAATATTATATTCTAAGGATGCGCGAAGGTGTACAGAGTTCAAGTGAGGAAGAACTTCCGTCAACAACGACCCTCGCATGGGACGCGCTACATCGCGTCCGTAGTGACTGAATTTGAGTATGATTATGCCGTTTTAGCTTTACTGTACGAATTTCTGCAAAAATAAAAATTTCTTCCCGTTTCTATATTGGCTAAACGTTTTTATTATTTTCTAATCATTCAATGAACGACTTAGTTTTTCTTGATTGTTAAATTTTTATTTTGCAGTGATAGAAATACCTACAGGCGCAGCATTCCTTGTTAGTGTAATGTTTAAGCAACAACCCTGAGGTTGAAAGTTCAAAGCCCGGCTATTCACAAACTAATATTTATTTCTTCAATTAAAGTTACTAGTATGGTACGTAATGTCAGCGCGCCGGTTGCCCAGAATGCTGAATTTAAGACGATTCCATTCACCGGTAAAATCATAGACGGTTTTTATGGGGCAGCCAAGGGGTGGTAATGATCGAATAACTTAATCATGGTGCTTCTATTACGGGGACTTTGTACGCAGGTCAAATAACAGCATTGCGTGAGGAAATACACAAGCAACGGCGTGGCAAACTCGCTAAAATTGTTTTGTTTCACCAAGATTATGCCCCCGTCCAGAGTAACGATAGAAGGTGGTTTCGAATTTTTGTAACATCTTCCATATTCACCGAATCTATCTCCTAGTTGTTTCTAACGATTTCCTGGGTTAAGGGATACATCTCTGGAGCCATATTTTTGCTTTAGGTAAAAAATATACAAAGTATATAAACCTGAAATGTGTCTACGTCGAAAAATTTAATAACGTTTGATAAAAGATAATTGCGCCATACTCGTTATCACTTTTCGATCGCCCCGAGTCTACTATTTAACGTATTCTAGTACTTATTTTTAAATATAAATTTGCACAAAAGATTTCAGTTACCATTATATAAATACTCTTTGATCAGAGCTGTGATTTCCGCGATCAATTATCCCTAATTATGACGTCACACGTTTATTTATCCGCTAATTAGGGGCCGCACCACCGCGCCGCAATCCTAATGACCCGATGTCAATACATTTCAAACTCCCGTAATATTGTGATTTCAATCAAATTATAAACTTCTGAATTACCTTTAATATAATATATTCTTTGTGTTTTACATACAGAATTTGTGTTTTAACCAAAGCTACATATTATTGTATACCTACGATAATTTGCAAATGCAATACAAAAATAAAAAAATATTACTAAAAGAAGCTTAAAAAAATACATTATTGAGAAATATCTGAATTATATGAAATATTTTTTTGTGTTTAATTCGTATATATCACCTTTTTGTACCAACGCACGCGTGAACGGCAGGGCGCCGCAGGCTTTCCATTTGACAGAAATTCAATATATAATATAATTTATTTTGTATATTAATTGTTGTTATATTAAAATCTTCGATATTGAGCTACATACTTAACAAGTATCTATCTAATATTTAGTTTATGTATCGAAATATTTTTATTTTAAAATTTTTTTCAATAACCATTTTTAAATGATTATTGTGATTGACACTATATTTTTTCCACAGTAACCGTGTACGAAGGAGACACTCTTTCCCTGCAACGCATAAGTCGCACGGAGATGGGCGCCTACCTTTGTATTGCCACCAACGCCGTTCCCCCTTCTGTCTCCAAGAGGATTATTGTAGACGTTGAATGTAAGTCGAATGTTTTATATATTTAATTTAAATTTTTAACTTTAATTATTCTTCTTTCAGTCTAATTGACCTCAAATTATCAGGTTAAATAATTTAACCTCAAATTTTCTAGCCGAAGGTTAAATATATAAATACGAAAAGTTACAATTAGTAATGAAACAAGTTTTAAAGTTAAGTGCTTTAATATTTTTAGAAATAACTGAATTTATTTAGAATTACGCTACATAAACATCTTCAGAATTAACCTGTAGCGTATATTTTTCGAACGGCTCGTTCTCGGGGACGAGGCCCTCTTCTCCGGCGTAATACGGATATTCCAACTTAGTCGGCAAGTAATAGATACCCGGTTTACTGAAATCCGTCAGAGGCCCTGCTAAATTTCTTTCCTTGTTGCCGAAACACTTGGAGAGTCGCGCATCTTGTATAGAATCACACTTCACTCCGATGAAGGATCGTGGATACTGTAGAATGTGTGTATAATATTCTAACGCTTTTATATGGCTACAGACAGCCAAGCATACCGGGTCGGGTAACGCACCTGGTTGAAATTCACCACCGTTAACATAAAAGTCTACCTGTCCAAAAGCTCTAGACATGCCGAACACGTCGATATTTGTATGTATGGCAGAAACTCTTTCTGCGTCTTGGCTCGAGAAGATTTCGTCCGGCGGCTGGTTTCGAAAGCACGGTCCGGCGGGATCCAAACCGGTCAATTTAAAAGCTTTCTTTCCCCTTACAGCTATTAGGTGTTTGGCGGCGTAACTTATTACGTGAGCGCCAATACTCATTCCGACCAGTTCTAAATTTGCTACATCTAACCCGTTATCGACTAATTTGACAAGAAGTTCACCAATTTTAAGACCGACTGCGCGAGACAAGCGGACTGATCTGAAATTAATTCACACACAAATTAACACATGTATAAATAAAGCTATTAGAAAGAAGTTTAAGAGTTATTTCCAATAATTTTACTTCTTTATATTTTAAACCGACTTGTTAATAATTTTGTAATCCTTTTGGCGCATTTAACATTCGCTCGAACGGTGAAGGAAAACATCGTGTGGAAACCGACATGTCTTAGACCCAAAAAGTCGACGGCGTCAGGGTCAGGCACTGGAGGCTGATCACCTACTTGCGTATCAAATTGAAAAATTATCATGAAACAGATTCAGAAATCTGAGGCCTAGACCTAAAGTGGTTGTAGCGCCACTGATTATTATTATTTGGCGATACATTTCTTATACTCGTATATTTTTTGAAATGACAGCATCTTTTGTAAATCTGTTAATTCGAAATATTTATTGCTTCATACAGCTTGTAACAGATATACATTGCAATTGATAATCCTGTGTAATTTCACAGGAATTTTTGACTATATGTAGATAAGTAATTTAGTATTACATACTTTGGATAATGTCGCGAGAGAACAGTGAGCGTTTCGCTTATTAGGACATTGTATCCCATATTACAATAGAGGCTGGCGATTTTTTTGTTCAGGGGGTCGAAAGTGCTATCGTAGTAAGCCTCTGCATAGACCACTGTCTTCTTCTTCAAATCTGAAATCCAATTATTGTATTGTAAAAGGAATGCAACACTTTGTATTAAGTTTGATGCTTACGCCACGTCCTCTGTAATATAAATCGAGAAATAATTAATATATTACTATAATTTTTACTCTTAAGAAACTTAATTGCATCAGTAGGCAATTATAAGCATAGATAATGTGTACTTACCAAATAACTTGTCTCTGACAATATGAGTAAAGAAAGACTCGATGGGATAGTCTTTCTGAATTTCAACGCCATGTTCCGTAAGCGAATATATTCTCATGTGAAAGCGATTCAAAGTCTCCCTTGTGAACGTTGAGTTTTTTTCAACACCCGGACCTTTAAAAGATACATGCAGTTCATGAATTTGATTTACTTGTATAATTTATATAATATCAAATTGAAAGAACTCCGAGGTTTAAATTTATTTAAAACTAATACTTATTTATATTTTTAGCGCCTTGACACATAGATTTTTTATAAATACAAAAATACAAACCTTGTCCTTTTACAATTCATTAGAATAGGCACCGAACTATTAATTCATAAAATACTCACAGTAGGGCAGCAAACCGCTAGAGACGCCTAGATCAGGGTTAGCTATTCTATCTATCAAACACGTCGAAGTACCCACTAGCGTTAGAGTAATAATTATCAAAAATTCTTTCATTTTAAAAACAATATTTATTTAGAGTCACTATTAATTATTAACTATGTCGAAGTACAGCTATTTCGCATTACTGTCAGTAAATTTATAATAGTAAGCCTAAAATACATTTATATAATATATAAACTTTTTGCTTATCCGTTGTGAAAAAACTCACGGAAGAAAATTTAATAATTTATTTAATGCGCGTTTTTACAAGCAATGACTTACTTGAATTAAAGTCCAATGTCCCGCAAGCGGCAGAAGGCATCCAGCATAGAAAACCAGCCTAATCGGGAACCGGGATCGGACCTGGATTAATTTCACTACATGTCTTTCTAGCTTTCCTCGTCTGTGCAATAATGCTTCGTTGCCAGGTCTGTTTTCCTGGGGGGCCACGTTTTCCTGGCAGCGTAAGGCTCACCCATTTCCACATTCGGCGTTTTATAGACCTGCCAATTGGCACCTCATTGCGTAGCTCCCATAGCAGATGGTTAGAGATTCCTTGGAATATTCTGGCCCGAGAGAATCTCTAGCAATAAAAGGATGAATGCGATGACTTTTGAATATTTGCAAACTAAACCTATAATAATTAAATTCGCTGCTATAATTTGAAAATAGGAAACTTTTTCTTATTCTAAAACTGCCGTTACGGTTAATATGAAACGGCATTGAATTAATTTTAAGGTCACAAAATTAACTCAATGCCGTTTACAGGAATCGTATAATTATTATTTTTAATCCTGAATTAATATTTGTAATTTGAACCAATTCTTGAACCGATGATAAGAAAGAAAGTCTAGCATTATTCTGGAAGAGGTATCTGTGCCGATAGATAACCGGTGAACCAGTTATACGAAGCGTTACTAGTTACGCGTTACGCGTTAGTAGCGTTTTAGCTGTTGCGACCTCAAATCCCATTTAGTTTCTCTATCTGCACAGACTATACTTAACTTTCATCTGGCCATACTCAAACTTAAACCGTGAATTTAAAAATGTTACTCATTCTAATCAAATATCGTAATGACCGAAGATTGCCAGACTGTTTTCCTGTTTGAAAACGGCCCGTGTGCGATAGCCTTATTCCGTCCTATTACAAGACGCAGCTGTATAAATAAGACAGTGATAATTGAAAGATAATATTTCCCCAAGGTGCACGACTGAGATTGCCGACGCTACAATCAATTCTTCAAGAAAATTCTTTTAAAAACAAAATTAAAAGAGTTCGCGTAAACAATGGCGTCTCTGCGATACTTTTAACTTGGATTTTACGAGATTTACACTTGCTTTAAAAAATGTATATTATGAGGACATAAATTAAAAACATTACTTAATGATGCTTGATGATACTTAATTATAAATTAAAAACATTAAAATTACTCCAACTTAAAATTGCAAAAGTGTTTCATAAAAAATATGCCTTTCAAATGGGAAAATGTAAAAAACCTTCGGCATAGATCCGCCGTATTCAAATGATACTGTAAAGCCTTAAACACACATCCGCATAATAATGAACCCCCGACGCTCTCGCATTACGTAGAACTTTATAAATATTTTAAAACGTCGTAGAATATTTAATCGCGTCGGACGTACCGTAATATTGCTTGAAAATTGCCACATAAACTGGCGATGTGAGTAATGCCCTCAAACTGTGGATTACATTTAGGATCGCTGCACGTTACGCAGTGAAATATTGACTCCACTTTAGCTTAGTGTTTAGTTAAATTGATTTCATTTTAATTCATATGTAAAATTGTATGTCTCTTAATAGTCTATTGAAAAAGATTTTCTGATGAGTTGTGATGGTGGTTTGTTCACCGGTCACCAGGGAACTAAAAGATATCGATGGGAACTCAAACAGTGAGTAACTCGTGAGCAGTCGCCAACGCTCGGAAAAGTTCGTTCAATTCATCAATATCGGGAATTTATAAATTGCTTCCTAGTTCCCGATAGTTTATTTTATACTCTGGAGCCCGTACGTTGTCAGGTGCCGTTAAATAATATGATTGATAACCGATCACTTTAACGTGTTTTGTCCATTATTTACACAATTATCGTAATTTATATTCGATATAAGTTTTATTTCGAATGTAACAGATTTTCTTGTAACATGTCCATCGCGACTTTTCTAATTTTGAAATGTCTAGTTAAGTTTAAATATAGGTCATTACGAGTAAATTATTTTATTAATTGTCCTAGAAGGGTCTTTGCGCTGACCGAATTTTTGTCTTAGGTAACCTGGTATTTTGTGATATTGTGATCTGGGCTATCAGCGTGATACTAAAATCATCCTTACCATCAGACGTACTAGAGACGTCTCAGTGTAATATTGTATAATTCACATATGGCTTGGTTAACTGTAAAAGCATGATAATTCTATTACGGAAAAAAAATATGACCATGAAATTTATCACTATTCTTAAATACTACCTTCACGGTCTCTTATTGAAAAAAAATAATAGGTATAATTTAAGAAAATTTCCTGTCATGAATAGCTTTTTTTTCGTTTACGTTTACACATGTACTTTTTGTGTATATTTCATTATACATATGCCTATTTTCTTATAATAATTGTAATTTTAAAAATTTATATTCGATATAAGTTTTATTTCGAATTTAACAGATTTTCTTGTAACATGTCTGTCGCGCCTTTTCTAATTATGAAATGTCTAGTTTAGTTTAAATATTTAGATAATTTTTGTTTAAAAAAAATTGTAAAATTACGAGTAAATTCTTTAGAAAATTTTTGTTTTCATACTCAATGTATGTCCTTATTTCAGTCTCGCCTATGATTTGGGTGCCTAACCAGCTGGTTGGAGCACCGGCTGGCACTGACGTCACGGTGGACTGCCACACCGAGGCCCATCCCAGAGCAATCTCTTACTGGGTCTATGATAACGTAATGGTGCTCCCTACGAAGAAGTACGCCATCAACACAGAGGAAAACTCATATCGGTGATTTTTATTTTGTTTAAATTAAAATAGGTATCACTTTATCATAGTGTGAAACACCATGTTATCTAAATAAATAAAAAATCATTTAATCACATAGGTAACATAATGTACACTTATGACTTGTCAGTAAAGAAATACATATTAATGCTTCTAATTTTACATTTACTGCCAGTTCTCAGAACAAGGGCGTAGAACGGGAGAGAAGAACTGGCAATAAATATCTAATTCTAATAAAACTAATAAATGTGGCCATTCCATTTAATAGTAGTTTATTAAACATATTTTTGATATTATCAATGCTGGATAACTTATTAATAGGCATACTTTGCCAATACCTCACAAGGGAACACAGCAATTCGCTTAACTCATAGAACTGAAATACCTAGTTAACATGCCATTAGTGAGCCAATTAAATCACTAATTCGTAGTAGTAATCGACAACGCTACGCATATTGAATAATTAATTTTATTATGTTTGAATAATAGTTTACCAATATGGACATTCTTAAATTATTTGCCTCGTAGTAATTTGCTTGTCTACCTAGTGTAACTCAGATGCACCGTTCCTTACATCTGTCTATACTTATATGATAATCTATAGTATATACTTTAGCGTAATTTAATATTTATTTATAAAGTAACGGTGAATCAGTACTATCCACAGCAGGTTCAAATAAAACACGAACCGTTAAGATTGCACGAGGCTTCGTAGCCGATGTTAATATTGAATGACGCGGAGAGCGAAGCCACGTAAGCTGCTGTTTTATGTATTGTGCTTGAGACTGTAAATCTTTTTACAAGTCACTAGAGAAACATCACCTTAAAGATTTTGTCTTTCTTTATAGTCCTTCCGTGTGGAGTTACGCGTGCCTAAGAGTGCTATATTAAGTTTAATATTTATTCTAAAGAATATTATTACCTCTTTTACAAAAAAAAAACGGACACCCTTTAAGGTCGAATTAAGTTAATTAAATGAAATTTAATTTCTTGAAGTGGTATTGTTTATTATATATTATATTGTTTGGCAATGCAGATAAGAAGATTTTTTAACTTTTTTTGCCAAATTCACAGCTTGAATGCTTCTAGGCATCCTTACACGATGTCTTTAATAACGTTTTGCATACGTTCCCACTGTTCTGCAATGAGTGTTTTTAGCTCCCTAACTTTTGGGGAGCGGGTTCCACTGATCTTACTCTTTTGAACACCCCAGACATGCTCAAAGGAATTGAGGTCAGGACTTCGAGCTGGCCAATCTAAACGAAGGATCCCCACTTCTTTCATGTACTATTCCAATCGCCAATTTTCTTAAAACCGTTAAAGTCTGTTTATGTAATAAATTGCACGTACAGGGCCCACATGAAGCTAACGGTGCGCAACCTTCAGGGAGGTGATTTCGGAAACTACCGCTGCATCTCAAAGAACTCCCTCGGGGAGACAGAAGGCTCTATCAGGCTCTACGGTATCTGCTTCTATTTATGTCTAACTATTACTATGACTCTAAATGCAAATATAATCCGTGGAAAACGTTTTATTTATACATATACAATTACGGGTTCACGAACTGTATTTATATATTTTTTTATAGAAATTCCTATGCCGTCAACGTCTCCAAAGGCTACTGAGATGAAAAGTACAGCGAACAAAGAAAGTGAGTATTACTAGAACTTCACGAAATATTACTTGATCAGATTAATAATATCCCATAGATTTAAAAAACGTAGCTTCGATAGAGTCGGCGGAACTGTACAGTATGTACATTAATTAGTACAGAATATGCTAGAACAGTAAATGTTTCTATTGTTTTCTATATTTAATAACAGATAATAATATAATAGATCAGAGTAGTCTACGCGAGGAGGGGTCATTATTGTCTTAACGTATACATTAATGTAATTAGTGTACACGATGATGAGGCTATTTTTAATAATTATCAAAGCGATAAATAAAAATGTATTTTTGTTTAATTTGCACTCATGATCACATTACTTTTGGTTATCGTAATATAATTCTTCTTTAATCCAATCGCACGAGTGTTTTAATACATACATTGTGGTTTTTATGCTACTTTATCTTATAAACTGTGGTTGAACATAAGTTCTGATAACAGAGGCGAAGCAGACACGGTCCCAGATATGTGAAAATTTGCAAATTGTCATAAAGACAAGCAAAAAGTAATAGTAGAGTGGTTAAAATGAAAGAGCGTTTGCAGGCGTCCGTCGCACGAACGTAACGCGATCGTCGGTACGTGAGCGTGAGCGCGAGCGTGAGACGGCGAGCGCGACGGAGCGGCCGAGCGTGGTGCGCGCACAACTCGACCGCGCGCCTGCGCCTGGCACTGCCCACGTCTACCGCGCTCATCCGCACCACGACTCAGGTACGCTCCTAGCGCAACACTCGTTTTCCTATCGTACGATTGACTTAGAAGGGTTTTTGCGCTGACCGAATTTTTGTCTTAGGTAACCTGGTATTTTGTGATATCCTGGTTGATCAGCGTAATACTAAAATCATCACCATCAGACAAGAGACGTCTCAGTGTAATATTGTATAATTCTATTACGTAAAAAATGTATGACCAAGAAATTTATCACTATTCTTAAATCCAACCTTCACGGTCTCATATTGAAAAAAAAATGTAATAAGTAGGTATAATTTAGAAAAATTTCCTGTCATTAATAGCATTTTTTTCGTTTACGTTTACATATGTGCTTTTTGTATCTATATAATAATAAATATTCCTATTTCCATATAATTAAAAAAACGATTGAAAAAATAAATAAATTTGTAAGTTTTATTATAAAAATTGCTATACTTGTAATTCACGATACTACAAAACAATAAAAGTGTGAAAAAAATAATGCAAAAGCTGAATATAAAGAAACTGAAACGATCTTCAATAAAAACCCGAGTTTACCTCAACATTTTCCACGTTTTGAATTCTTTGTTACGATATAGTAGATTATTAATGCCGACCGCCGTCAAGCGCGGAGACGACACCGCCGGAGTTATATTATGAGCATATTTACATACAATTCTTTGTTACTTTTACAATAAAAACGTATTAAAAGAGGTTAAAATGAAAATCTGATCTAAATTAATAGAGTATTTAGTGCGATGCAGAGAGCTAAGCGGCAAACGGTAAATTAGGCAGAGTATAGCTGTACTCGGCAATATTTTACGCCCGAATTGATTCCAGCGAATCACTAATACCGCATGAATCGTTAATACTCCTCAAACGTATAGGCTTCATATATTTGATTTGGAGTTCTCGAGCTAGGTGTGCGGTCGTATGCCGATCCAAATAGAGATTAAACATTCAACGAGTTCGCATACACACTTAACCCTTATAAATATTCAGTGCAGAGCCCGCACAATCAATTCTGCACCTCTCGAGCTTAAGGAAAAACTGTTTGAATAGCCGAATAATATGATATCGCGCATTTGAATAAAATATTTGATACGAAGAGAATAAACCCTATAATTGTGTAAATATCCAACAATAGACTACATGAAAAACAAAGTGTGAACCTTGTTACTATGATAGGGAGAGTTGACTATTTATTGGCCAAACAATTAATAATCATAAGCCAGTTCTCGGACTTGGCAAAGAAATATATTTATCTTTTGAGAAGAATACTAAAATTGTATCGTGTACTGGCTACTGCATAATAAATATTTGAAAAACTTACGTTCAGTTGCAAGCGTAGTGAAAATTCTGAATGTTGACGCTAGATGCATTCGAGCGTCAATGATAACGCCTCTTCGCTCTTAACGCTTTTGTTTTTATTCCGTTTTTCTTAGCGCCATTTGATGTCATCCGACGTGAAATCGCTAAGTTTTTGCCTTTTCATTTAGACTCATAGAAATATTTTTAATTTATTTTAGAGCTCTCTCATATTTACCAAATATTTAATATAAGGTAATTAACGTCATTACATGTTGAGTTTTTAATCGTAAACTTACAATGATGGCCTTGTGCTAAATCCTCGTGGTGCGAGAGTAAATTACACCTTTCTTCCTCTTCAGCTTTAATCTCATTAATACACCTTTTTTGGATAACGACTATGAAATAATTAATTAAATAAATATTTATATGTGGTTAACGGTTGTAGGTTCATACTATTACTTATAATTAGCACTTTAAGTTTTAGTATAAGAGAAATAGGAGCAAAAACAATTCGTTTGATTATGAATCTTCCAACGATAAGGGTCGTAACGCGTATCTGTGATTGGAATAGAGATGTTGCGACGACGTTTCGCGCCATTGCTTTGTCTTTCATGCTACTTCACATCTCCCCAGCCATATTTTTTATTCTTGTTTTCTGTTGTTTCAGGTTCGAACAAGGTGCAGTGTTGGCGACAATCTTTCCTGGCTCTCATTGTTCTCGTCCAGATAGATTTCTTTGCCGATATCTTAATTTGTACTTGAATTTTTGTTAATTAAGGTTGTATGCTATTTAAATCTGATTAACAGTAAATATGGTGTTTTCTGTGTTGAATTGTATAAGTAATCAAATTTCGAAAATAAACATATCATAAAACCCCTTTGTGAATATTCCGAATGAAATTTTTATATTTTCAAAATAAAATGGTGTGTAGTTTCATGTAGCTATTTTCAATTTTAATATTTCTTTGTATTCTTTTATTGATAGTTTTGGTCAAAGCTTTAGTAACCAATGTGTAAGTGCTATATACAAATATATATTTAATTAAGATTGTTGAATGAATTACTAGTAAAACAATTAAATTAATCCAACTCACATCTGATTTATGGCATTTTAATAATACCGCCTAAACCTGAGGTTTTGTTTTTGTAGTTGTGCAGAAATAATCAATAATAATAATAAATTGTTTGTTAAATCGGCCTATTCTTTGGTCGGCTTTGGTCAATTAATTATTAATTAATTGTGAAATATTACGTTTATTGCTACTTAAACTCCTTTTTATGTAATTGTCCTTCGCACTTTATCTAAAATTTCAATAATTAATTGTGACGGCCCGCTTCGCCTTATGTGTAAAATGATTAGTCCGATTAGATCTATACGTGCCAAAGATATTATAACTTATAATTTACATTATTAAAATCTATTTTAATTATATATTAACATCTAGACAGCTCTTTAAGTTTAATCGATGTAATGCGTGCTGACTTTGCAATTACTTAAAGTATTTATTTATTTATATCCCAACCGAGTAATAGTATGTCAGCACGTATACAAACAGATGGATTACCATTAGGTAATAAAAATAGTATTTAAAGATTAGTTAGTGATTCTCGAATGTAATTATCCAAGCTTGCCCTTCACGCTTGTTCAATGTAAATATAAATGAAAATCTAATGCACATAAGAAACAATTAATCATATCAATTTGTTGATTTACATAGATGTAATTTAATGTACAAATTTTTGTTTTAACGAATGTATCAATAGGTTAACTATGAGCCGTATACGGCGTTGGATGTAAATAAGGTGAAATAAATTAGTATAAAAGATTATCAGGTTTTAATATCAGTCCCGCGAGTGATGCATTGACATTCGACGGCGGAGAGTGGAGGGATGAAGGGAATGAAATGGATGAACGCGTGATAACCCTCCAAGTAATTAAAAAGAGCGCACAATCTTATCGAGTGGCCATTGGCGCGCTGACGGACGTTATCAAGCACACGGAATCAATGGAGCACTTTAATTGATTCCCCACTTTAACGTCCGACTGCGATTCTCTTTGTCTTTTTCTAATCGAAATTCAGGTCGAGTTGGGAAGGCGCTAACGAATTTTTAAAGAATGCGATAGAATAAATACTTATTTAAACGTCTGCGAGAAATAAGGATCTTTATAATTATTTATGGCGGCTTTTGCCGCGCAACGGAAATTTTCACACGCCGCCTTTTCGTTTATGCTTAGATTTATGGCAGTTGAACAAATGTTTTCGGGACGTCTCAGTAACCACCGACGTTACCTTTATTTGGATGTAAGCAATGAAATTAAGGTTTGTATGCGATACTCTCAATAGCAGTAAAATATTATCTTTAGAAGATACTAATATGTATTATACTAGGTCGATAATCGTTTTAAAAATATGGAAAGTCACTTTTTTTGGCTATTCCATGAAATGGTTTTTAAGATCAACACGGATCGTTTTATCAGCTAATTCTCGGATCAAATTAAATTTCCTGCCATTTGATAAACTAATATTTGACACTCGAAGTATTCAAAGTTCGCTAACAACTTGGAAATGTTCGACCTAATTCACTTTTATGAAGAAAGAAATTTCGTGATGAATTCTAAGTGGCGCGAACTGTTTACCCCTGTCACAACACGCTCCCGTTTCAAACTTTTGAACGTCTTAAGAATTTGATCTTTTTAACTCGTGTTAACTTACTGGAAAGTAGTTGATACGTCTAGGTTATGTCGTAAATATGTTACGACTATTCATATTTAAAGTCGTAGCGTATATGAGTATGAATTTACAAAAGCTCTCGTTTAGCATTTAAATGCCGATATTTGTCCACTTAATAATAATTTACTATCATAAGTGGTGGCTCCGGTTTAAGGCCCTATCCCAGCACGAATTGCTGTGTCAGTGTCTCGGGGTGGACTGCGGGGCGCAGGCCATTTCCATTCGCCCTACGACGAAAAATGGAAAGAAACAATGTACTTTTTTGGAGTTTGGCGACCAGATCGGTCCTAAAGAGTAAAGACAAAATGAAACAATCTTAATAACCGGACTGCGCAGTACTTGTCATTCTGCATTCATTTTTCCTTAACGTTCACAAAGCGAGTTGCAGTAAATTTGGCTTGGCTTGCCAACATCTCAAAGTTAAACTAATTGACACCAGAGCTGAATAGACCAAAGCAAACATTTATAGTTCAAATTATTCCACTTCTTACTTTAATCTGTGATTTTAAATGTTCTCATTTAGCCTATATAAATATTCAAGTCACTGTCGGAACGATAAAAATATTCAAGTGGAATCTTAATTTTCTCGTTCTTAGAGTAATTTTTGTATCATATTACATCCTTTTACGCGATCAGTAAATTTCTGAGTTGAGCAAAATGTTAACTAAAAATAAACAAGAAAGGCACTCTACGAATTTCAAAACGAATAAAGCTTCCACTAGAAACTTGAAATGTTAAATAAAGCCAGTTACATAAGTAACTCGATAGCCGGAAGCATTACAGACCTTTCAACGAAGTTACAACTAGCCGAACTACAAACAAATGGAAAGCAATTTAAGGCAGATCTTTTAATAAAAATATATAGATATGATTATTACATATTATTTAAGTTATCCGATTCGATTTAATAATGGATTCAAACAATCAATATTAAAGCAAAAATTTAATGTGAAAAATGAACTAGAGCATTTTTGTTGTTACTAAACTAGTCTATCATGTATATTGGCAATGGTTAAATCCAGAAGGTAAAAGAAAAAATAGAGATGATGCGCGATACATCTCTAATCCAATAATAGAGAAATGACACGATCATGTCAGCGCCAGTGGTGTTTGATATTACTCTTGTAATGAACAAACAATTTGAACTCCTTTGATTAACGCTAATTGCGATATATTAATACTTAATTACTATTCGCTTGAAACTATTTAAATTATTACAATATTGATTTGACAAAGGATTTAATCAGCTAAATCACTGTTCTTATTGTTAATTATATGCGGGATAATAAGACAAGCCATTTTGTGTCTTAATACAAGTACCTAAGAGTTCATGTCTACAAATAAATATTCGCAGTAAGCCGTGTCTTCACTTGTAAAATTTCACGCACGGTTAGCATGGATGAGTGGATCAGGGTGAGTGGAATGATGTGGGTTGTTCTTGTATCCTGTAATTTTTCCGGTTTAGATCCTTTTATGATGATGAATGGTGGAGCAGGTACAATATCTCGTATCATATTTTTTATTCATTGTAAATTTCCTATATTCTGGAAGTAAAAATCAGTGTCGCTACAACTTTTTAGGTCTGGGTCTGGAACATTGGAGTTCTGTATCTGTTTCGATATATTTCCTTTGAAATAGGCAAGTAGGTGACCAGTTGTCTGTGGCTGACTAGAACTCGTGAACGTCAATCTAATTTTAATCTAGTTGGGCATATTTGACATCGCTCGATGTTTTCTTTCACCGCACCAGCTTATTCTGGAACCAATACCTCAATATATATTTAAGTAAATCCTAACTGAGTTACCAGTTTAAGCTAATTGTTTCATATTATTTCAGCATCAATAGCTGTCTTTGACACTCGCGCCAGCAACTTTCAACTATTTGTTAATAGGTATTTCGGTGCAAACTTATGAATAGGTAAGAGTAATTAAGCGAGGGAAGGCAGCACAATACACTCCGCTTCTGATTTGAGTATTCTCAGACTCCATTTACCGCATCTGAGCCAAAGGGATATTGTAGATCTCCCGATACGATTCTGCAATAAATGTTTATAACATATCTTTTGTCTCTATTTGTGTGACTACAGTTCTGGGTCTAAATCCTAACCTCTTTACACATAACAACTGTGATAATAATTACATTTTTGATGCGATCGTGTCGCAGTCGTGGCGTGTAATGAGCGAATATTAATATAGTTATAGTGATAGTCAATGGACGCTCGGGAGTTAAGTGTAGCTGTTAATTCAACATTGATTTGTGGGCGACCGATCGGCTCGAGTTTATTGTGCTATAAAATCTGTGATCTATGAATTACTAAAACAGTATACATTAAATGATGCGTTAGCTGGATTTAATGATAGTATGATTTTAGAAAGTTTTCAAGGATCAATCGTTTATGGATGCTTTTTCTTAGTCAATACACATACACACATAAGGGTGCCAATTTTTTAACATGCTCCTATAAATCACCTTATAAAGTTCTTTTTCTTATGGATACGTGACTCAAAACCGACTTTTTTTATTTCTATCTTTCTTGCGGTCCTATCTTTCACGTATCTTGATTATATTAAGGTTAATTGACAACGTCTCCAATCAATTCTTGAAGAACAGAGCTTATCAATTCTCAAAAGGCCAAAAAGGCACTTGCGAGCTTAATTAGATTCCATTCGTACCAGGAAAAAGGTGAGAAACCGGCCTATAATTTTGTACAGTATTCTTCCATCATCCTTTTACTACTGAATGTAAAATAAACTTAAATTTCTCTGTAGTACTATAGTATATTCCAAAAGAGTCGAAACACGAAACTTACGCTCTCATGGAACTTGTATACTGAATCGTCATATTAAAAAATAACGCTTCGTTTATTCCAATAACAGTACAGACAATACCTCATGTATAGTTTATACTGCGTCAAAACAAAAAGCAATATCAATTCATTGTTGTTAAGATGAAGACACACGAGCGTCAGTTATCCGCCATGACACGGGTTCACTCTACCATAATAACACCGTTATATTTCATTTTTAAAAA